AACCATTTACATTAATCATTTGTACACCTCATAAAACTTACATTATGGGCAAGTGAAGTTGGGGCCTGTCCTTGCTTTGCTGGTATTTTGCTTTATTGTGTATTTTGTCCATTATCTCACAGCAACTAGATTGCTATAGTCTCTATTACCATTCAGATCTGAAATTCCATTCTAGCCATGAGAATTAATACATAAACATATTTATTCAAACTAAACACAAAATTATGTGTGAAGTTGAATAGTAAAAGCAAATCATATCCTTCATGGCTACTGTAGAATAATTTCAATCATGTCCTTATGATTCTGAATCCCATCATATTAAGGAAGTAATTCATGTGAATGAATGTTTACAAATATTAGTAAGACAGCTTACAAGACAAACTGTGTGGTAAAAGTCTACATTAAAATTCAGTCTGGGGGCGACTGGGGGCTTAGTCGGTTAAGCATTGGACGGCAGCTCATGTCATAATCTCGCCGTTTGTGACTTTGAGCCCCATGTCGGGCTCTGTGCTGACAGCTCAGAGCCTGGAACCTGCTTCAGATTCTACGTCTCCCTCTCTCTCTGCTCCTCCCCTGCTCACTCTGTCTCTCTGGACCCTAGAATTCTTGTCCTGAGCCTCTTGTGAGGAGTCTGCCCTATTTTTAAAAAATGTTTATTTATTTATTTTTAAGAGACAGAGAGAGAATGGCGGAGAGAGAGGGAGACACAGAATCCCAAGCAGGCTCTGCACTGTCAGTACACAGGCCAGTGTGGGGTTCGAACTCATGAACTGTGAGATCAAGACCTGAGCCTAAATCAAGAATCGGGTGCCTAACTGACTGGCTCCCCGGGGCCCCGTGTCTGCCCTGCTCACAGAGTTCCGCCGAACAGGAAGGGGGATGCGAATGAACAAGTTTCACCTGCTTGATGAGGAAGTGGGGTTTGCGCTCAGGTGGAGGTGGATGACAGCTGTCCTGGGGACAAACCAGGCTTGTAACGGAGGCTGGAATTTAGTCACAGCTACACTGAGGCGCCTCATTCAGTTACAGGGCGACGAAAAGCATAGATCAAATGTCTGTCTAACTATGTCACACGAAAAGGAGAAAAAAAGATCTTTCTGTGGGAAACACATTAGTGAATACACAGAATTCTTGCCTTTAGTAAGTTGAGAGTGAGTGAAAACGATATAGTAATTACTCATCAAGTCAGGAAAACAAACCAGAACGAAGTGTAGGGAAGCACCTGAAGCCAAGGCGCCCTGATCTACAATGTCAGCGACTGGCACTTATTCTGAAAAAGGCTCACAGGCCGGGGGGAGAGAATGCAGCCTTACCTTCCCTGCGTCTCTGGGCGCCCCGGCAGTCCGGAGCGCACCTATCTGTCCTTTGCGCTCTGCCTTCGGGCCCTGTGAATAGCAGCTGCCTCTTCTGGTAACATCTCTCCCTTAGTGGCTGTGGAAGGTGTAAACGAGGAAAACCAACACGCTGCGTGTGTGTAAGAAACAATGGACGATGGACGGCTGAGCTGCCACAGTATCGTCAGGCCATAAAGCTAGTTTTTAGTGTTTATTTTACTTTTTAAAATTTTTAAAAATGTTTTTATTCATTTCTGAGAGAGACAGACAGACAGCGTGAGCAGGGGAGGGTCAGAAAGAGAGAGGGAGATACCGAATCTGAAGCAGCTCCAGGCTCTGAGCTGAGCTGTCAGTACAGAGCCCGACGCGGGGCTCGAACCTACGAACGGTAAGATCGTGATCTGAGCCGAAGTTGGACATTTAAACTGACTGAGCCACCCAGGTGCCCCTAGTTTTTACTGTTTAGAGCCGAAGCATTAAAGAGGACATATTAAAATGAAAAAAAAAAAAAAAAACAACCCTAATGTTTATTTCTTTGAGAGAGAGAAAGAGCGAGAGAATGAGTGAGTCGGGGAGGGGCAGAGAGAGAGGAAGGTGGAATCTGAAGCAGCTCCAGGCTCCAAGCTGTCAGCACAGAGCGGGATACAAGGCTCGAACTCATGGACTGTGAGATCATGACCTGAACCAAAGTCAGACGCTCAACTGACTGAGCCACTCAGGGGCCCCTAAAACTTTTTTTTTTAACTGATGAGAAGTTTTTGCAATATATTGTTAAAAAGAAAACCAAAGGCCCAAAATGGCATCTCTTAGGCCCAGTCACCAATATTTAATGTGATTGCACTTTCAACCTCCCCCAGAAACGCTGTCTTAACCAGTCAGTTAGGAACTTCCTGGTTACCACCACGAGGTACTGTCACAGAGGTCTTTCTCCAAAGAAAGATGAGATAAGATAATTCACCAAGACTCTTTTGTCCTCAGGTGAAGGTGACCTCTCCTGGAAATCATCTTTTTCTTCCTGTTTATGACTTCTTTGTCCTGCTTTTAAAAACTTCCTCTTCTGTAGCCCTTGGGGGTCTCCCTCTACTTGCTCAGTGGGACACCGCCTCATCCATGAATCGTTCAATAAAGCCAGTAAGATCTTCAAGTTTACTTGGTTGAGTTTTGTTTTTCAACAATACAAATAATTAAAAAAAGAACTGCTCTGTAGTTCTTTATAAAATGAAGCTCCGAAACACTAATCTACTCTAGTCATTTTATAGATAAGGGGACAAACTGGCAAATTTCACTTACCTAAGAGCATAAAATTAAGTGACAGCCATTTCAAACATTCTCAACTACTTAGATTTACAGCTGAGTTTCTGAAATTGCTCCAACAATTTAAAACAGTACATTTAAGGGGCGCCTGGGTGGCTCAGTCGGTTAGGCGTCCAACTTCGGCTCAGGTCATGATCTCACGGTCCGCGGGTTCGAGCCCCGCGTCGGGCTCTGTGCTGACTGCCAGCTCAGAGCCTGGAGCCTGTTTCAGTCTGTGACTCCCTCTCTCTCTGACCCTCCCCTGCTCATGTTGTTTCTCTCTCTTCGAAATAAACAAAGCATTGAAAAAAAATTAAAACAGTACATTTAAGAAAAGTAAAATAGCCTACAACTCAACAAAAAACAACATGATTAAAAACGGGGCAGAGGGCTTAAATAGACATTTCTCCAAAGATATACAAATAGTCAATAAACACATGAAAAGATTCTCAGCGAAACTCATCACACTAGAAAACGCGAATCAAAACCCCAAGGAGAGACCACTTCACACCCATTAAGATATTAGAACACCACAGCAACAACAAAAGTAACAAGTGTTGGCAGGTAACATGGAAAACTGCAATCCTTGTGGACTGCTGGTGGGAACGTAAAATAGCGCATCTGCTGTGGAATACAGTGTAGCAGTGGCTCAACATAGTATCGACCCAACAGTTCCACTTCCGGGTACACGCCCCAAACAAAGAACTGAGCGCAGGGACTGGACCGGATACCGTACGCCATGCTTCCCCACAGCCAGCACGTGAAAGCAACTCAACAAATGAATGGATATGCAAAATACGGTGTCTATCACGGAATACTACTCAGACTCAAAGGAAATGAAAATCTGACACATTACACCACAGATAAACTCAGAGGGCACTGTGCTAAGTAAAGAGGCGCGAGAAGACAAACACCGTCTGCTCCCACTTACCTGGGTGCCTAGAGAAGTGACATGCACTGGGACAGAAAGTAGAAGGGTGGGGGCCAGGGGCACAGGGCAATGAGGAGTTGTTGTTTAATGGGCACAGAGCTTTAGTTTTGCAGGATAAAATGAGTTCTGGAGACTGGCTGCATGTGAATGTACTTAACTCTAAGAGAAGAGTTAAGATGGTAAATTTCAGGTGTAGTTTACCACAATTAAAAAAATAAAAAGCCTACAGAACAGTACTTTTCACAGTTTAGAAGGCAAGTAGAGAGAGGGCTCATTAAAACAAAATGACTCGGCTCCATCACCAGAGTTTCAGAGTTGACAAATCTGTGATGCAGCCCCAAAATCTGCATTTCTTTAAAAAATATTTTTTTAATGTTTATTTTTGAGAGAGAGAGAGGGAGAACACGCATGGGAGGGGCAGAGAGAAGGGAGACAGAATGGGAAGCAGGCTCCAGGCTCTGAGCTGTCAGCACAGAGTCTGCCCCACAAAGAGGGGGTGAGGGGGATTCACGACCTGAGCTGAAGTCTGACGCTTAACCGACTGAGGCACCCAGGTGCCCCTAAAATCTGCATTTCTAACAAGTTCCCAGGCAGTGCCGATGCTACAGGTCTAGAGAGGAGACTTTGAGAAGCGCTGCTAACAGCCCAAACTAGGCCTTTCAACACAAAATCAGTGATTTGCTTTATTATTTCCATAATTGTCTCTTTTCATTTTCAGCTAAAGGAGAACTTCAGGAATGAAAACTCTGGCATAAGGTAAAAAGCACTGGTCTTAGGAGTCAGAAGTTCTAGATTGTACCATGTATCAAATATACACCCTGTGATATTTTTTCTACTTTTTGAGACTCTCCTTGCCTGTATTTTGGTGTTGGTATCGTCAGTTCATATACTAAATTAATAATAAAAATTAATTTGGGGGGTTCTAACTGGTTCAATGGTTCACTTAGTCATAAAATCTTAGAATGAAGTTTCAAGTTCCTAGGCCCACAATTACAAGCTTTTTGAGAACAAATATGTTCCTAGAGGGCCTCTTATCTAAGGAGTTCAGAACTCAAGTAGGTAGGATGCTTTAAGCACTAAAAATGACACACCTGAGATTATTTGCATGAAATCATCTCCAGACAGACCATGAACATTAAGTTTTTTTAATGTTTATTTATTTTTGAGAGAGAGAGAGAGAGTGCGAGCAGGGGAGGGGCAGAAGAAGACACAGAATCCAAAGCAGGCTCCAGGCTCTGAGCTGTCAGCCCCAATGTGGGGCTCGAACCCACAAACTTCAAGATCATGACCTGAGCAGAAGTCAGAGGCTTAACTGACTGGGCCCCCCATCCACCCCCAGACTATGAACATTTAAAAAGTACATTCTTCATAAAAGTTACTTTTATAAGTTCCTTTTAAAGAATATATTTTTTTCAGTAGCTTCTACAAAACTCAAGACTTACCCATTTCATAATTGGAGCCCAGAAAAAAACTGTTTTGGGACCTGGAAAAAAGAAAAAGAAAAATTTAGAAATAATGCAACTATCTGATACATGTCTTTTACATTTTTTTTTAATGTTTATTATTATTTCTGAGAGAGAGTGAGAGAGCGCCCACGTTCATGAGCAGGGGAGGGAAAGAGGACCTGAGGCAGGTTCCACGCTGACAGCAGTGTGTCAGGGGCTCGGACTCATGAAGTGTTTGGGGCCTGAATTCAGGAGCTGTGAGATCATGACCTGATCCCAAGTCAGCTGCTCAAATGACTGAGCCACTCAGGTGTCCCTAGTCCTTAATAATTTTTTATTCCTCTCAAATGAATTCATTGTTCTTACAGTAAAATTCATTAATTCAATGTGATTTTAATACAAAGAGATATATACATCATAGGGTACTTTACATATACAACTAGTTAGTTGTAAATCTATTTACCTATCAAAATGATGACCTTGAAGCTAGTGGCTAAATAGAAATCACACTTGTACCCCTACCACCTAACAGCTGTTGAATTGAGTTAGCCGGCACAGCTGGAAGCAGTTTATATTCACCAGTGTTTAGACTTTAACTTTGATATATACGTGTATGCCTAATACACACACATAGATGCAAAGAACTGAAAAATTCTTTAAAATCAGAAGTTGTTTTTATCATTCTGACACTTATATGTTGATAAGCCTGGCTTATACTTTATAAAGAGTTTTTAAGTAAGTTTGCTGATTTTCTCGGCTATTTAAACCTAGTCCTAAAGTCCTTCTACAATCTAAGTCTCACTTTCTGAATCTTCAAAGGACCTGGCTACTATCTTTAGACTAATAATTCTTCAAATTCTAGAAGATCACGGCACAGGGTCCGTTGTTCCTTGTGGGCCAAAATGATTATAAAGCTAAACTTCATTTTCTCACCTTCATGTGACAGCTATTCATTGTCGTGTTTTCCTATGTACTTCCAGGTTTTCCATATTTTTTTAAGTTAATTTATTTATTTTTGGGATAGATAGAGAGCATGTGCGAGCAGGGGAGGGGCAGAGAGAGAGGGAGGGAAAGAGAGAAACCCAAGCAGGCTCTGTGCTGTCAGTGCAGTGCCTGACACAGGGTTCAGTCCCACAAACCATGAGATCATGACCTGAGCTGAAATCATGAATGGTGGCTGGGCTCTGTGCTGACAGCTGGGGGCCTGGAGCCTGCTTCACATTCTGTGTCTCCCTCTTTCTGCCCCGTCCCAGTTCACACTCTGTCTTTCAAAAATAAATGGGGGCACCAGGGTGGCTCAGTCAGTTAAGCCTCCGACTTCAGCTCAGGTCTTGATCTCACAGTTCGTGGGTTCAAGCCCCGTGTCAGGCTCTGTGCTGACAGCTCGGAGCCTGGAGCCTCCTTTGGATTCTGTGCCTCCCTCTCTCTACTGCTCTGTCTCTTTCTCTCAAAAATAAGTAAACATTAAAAAAATTAAAAAAAAACACAAACACTAAAAAAAAAAAAAAGAGTTGGTTGCTTAATTTACTGAGCCACCCAGGCACGCCTCAAGTTTTCCGTATTTTAAATTGTAGTGTCAGTCTGGACACAGTGCTGAAATGGTTATTAGGAGAATTAAAGCTATTGAGGAGTTCTAAATTTTGCTGTTATTTTTTTATGTTTATTTATTTATTTTTAAGAGAAAGAGTGTGAGTGGGGGGGAGGGGCAGAGGGAGAGGGAGTTCTAAATTTTGATGTTCTTGTAACTGACTGGAAATCTACATATATTCAATTGTCTGGTGACTTTACTTATCTTGTATCCGGTTCCCTTAGTTTTGTGCTGTTCTGATCACAACTCCCTTACACCCAGAACTCTAGTCACATAATGATCCTCTCCTCTATATCCTGAACAAGAACTGGAAACAATTTTTTCTCTATCGTTAAGACTATGTTGGAATTTTAAAATAAATTTAAGGGAACTAAAGAAATCGAAAAGAAAACATGAAGGCACTGAGTATAAGAATATAAATTTTGAATCCTAATTTAATTATATTTCAGCCCAGGTCACTGGTTCTCAACCAGGGGTCATTTGTCCCCCAGGGGACGTTTGCAATGTCCCAGGACTTTTTAGTTGTCACACCGTAGTGGTGGTGACACTGCCACTTCTGCTACTTCCTGGGGAGAGGCCAGGCCGACTGCTACACACCCTACAATACACAGGACAGCCTCCCACCACACATAACCAGCCACCCCCCAAAATGTTGACAGAACAGGCGTGAGAATCCCTGGCCTGGGTGGGCTGACAAGCTGGGAAAACACGCAACTAGTTTCATGCTGCCTGGTGGCTCTACACCTTAGCTTCTGCTTAGACTAGTCCCGTATTCTGCCTCGTCTTCGTCTGGCTAACTCCTAGGATCGATCAAAATCGGATCTTACATTGCACCTCCTCAAGGAAGCCTTCTTTAATGTCTCCAGTTTACACTAAGCAGCCCGTATATTGCTCTATTGTTTTCTGCCCTTAACGACTAAAATGATCTAAAGTGCATCCGTCACTTTCACCAGACAACGTGAAGACAAGGCTTATTTCTTGGTTTTCCTTAACAAATAATATTTGTGAACAGACCTGAATTGGATTAACCATGTGCAGGCCAGGTGTCAATCAAAGATATTCAAACTTCAGGTCTGATCAGATTCACCTTGACACTGCTTCATCCTCAAGGGTAGAATCTCATCCCCAGGGACATCAAGTTCCATTACATCAGGGCTGTAGCAGATTTTCACTCACTGGTTACTCTACTCTTAGACCATGATACTCCCCTATCTGGTTCCTGAATATTCTTCCCCTAAGTCTGATGGCATAATGTACTGATGCTATAAGACAGTCTTTTCAAACTCTCTAGTTATTTTGTTTAGCTTGAGCTCCTGAGATTCCCATCAGAGCACTCTTGGCTTATTTTTCTTTGTCATGTACAAAGTCTCTGAGTCACATGCAATATCAATTACTATGTTTATTTTTTATATTCTGCATGAAGGTTGCCTCCAGCACACAAGTGTAAGTCAGCACAACGTTTTGGTCTCTGGCTTTGAACTTCTCAGCCAACTCCTCACTTCCTATTTCAAAACTGATGCTTCCTCCTCTGCCACCTTCAACATGGTTTCCAGAATAACACCTCTAGGTTCTGGAGTCTTTATGAGCTTAAATATTTGATCTTTCAGAGTTAATCAACAGTCAAGCTTTTCAGTAAGTGTTTGCTTGGTAACTAATTTACTCAACTACCTGAAGCTAGATGATAGCTTTAAAACAGTAACTACTCCCTTCCTTTGCAACCAAAGAAAAACTCCTCAAACGTGAAATTATGGTTGCTAGGAACTGGACCACGAGAGGTATGAATATTCTGGTGAATAATTTTTAAATATAAAATAAGCCCGCCATTATTTTCACAACTGCTAAGCACCTGAATGAAAAAATCTCATTTGCAAATATGTATTATAAGACATTCTAATGTCTAATTTTCTGAGGTATCAGAGGATGCGGGCAAGTGACACAAATAGTCAGAGTTGGATATCTATACATGCAAACACATAGTGTTTTCTTCATTGTTGAGAAAAGGAAATCAGTGGCCTGACAAAACCCATGCCGTACAATGGACTAACAAAACATCGTAAAATGTATTTTAGTTCACTTTTCCACTTTATCTTAGCTAATCATTTTGTATCTTATGAGTAAACAAGTAAATTGAGACACGTATGAATTCAGGCACAGAGGTACTTCTTGAAAACCACAATCGACAGTGGAAACAGTCATGAGGAAACATTCCTCCTTCTTCCAACATCTGTAAAACGTTAAGTATTGACAAAGCAAAGCATCTGGAAATAGATCAAACAGTGAGAACACAATTTTACCTCGTCATATTGTCTTTCTAGACATGGTAAAGAACAGGTATATGTTCTACATAATGACCCAGCTACTTCTGTCTGCAAAAAAAATACATAACAAGACTTCCTTCAATTTTTTTAAATGTTTGATTTATTCTTGAGCGAGTGTGAGCAGAGGGGCACAGAGAGAGGGGACTGAGGATCTGAAGGAGGCTCTGCGCTGACAGCAGCTGAGCCCATGCGGGGCTCGAACTCACAAACTGTGAGATCAGGACCTGAGCTGAAGTCAGATGCTCAACTGACTGAGCCACCCGGACACCTCTAACGATTCTTTTTCTAAAATGTATTCATTTATTTTGAGAGAGCGAGAGAGAGGACTCGTGTGAGCGCCCGTGGGGGAGGGGCAAAGAGAGACCCCCAAACTGGCTCCCCAGCTTATGGGCCAGCTCTCTCTCTCTCCCTCAAAGTAAATAAATAAACATAAAAAAGCCCCACCTAATTATCTCATTGTTTAATGCTCCCTTGTATGAACAGCCGCGTCAGGGGCACCTGGTGGCTCAGTCGGTTGAGCATCGGACTCCTGGTTTCGACTCAGGTCGTGATCTTGCAGTCAGTGGGGTCCCCCAGTCAGGCTCCATGCTGCCTGCTTGGGATTCTCTCTGTCTCCCACTCTCTCTGCCCCTCCCCTGCCTGTGTGCTCGCCTGCTCTCACTCACCCTCTCTTCCAAAATAAATAATTAAGTAAGCATTAAAAAAATAATTAAATGATTATGATACCTGATGGGATTATAATACCTTAAAATCAAGATAATCAGACATAGAAACAGAGCATCTAGCTAACATTCATTACAATGAATGAAAAATTTCAATAGGTAGAAAATTTGAACAGCTGAAAATACCCTGAATAAAAATCACCTCTTATGAAATTTAATTGGGAGTCCAAGATGAGGTAAATGTGTCCCCACCAAATATAAATGTACATTCTTTTGGACAAAGAATTAACTAATAAGTAACACAATTAAGTAACATTTAAGTAATTCTTAAGTTTCCTAGAAGTCTACTCTTGGAAATTCAAAAAGGCCTCAAATGCTGACAATTTGGAAATATCAAGCATTAAAAAAACCACACATATTTTATATTTAAAACTATAACCTATTTTTAAGCATAACAAAGAAAAACACAG